GTTATCAACATTTTAAAATAATATTGAAGAATTGGCTTGCCAATCAGTGATTGTGTTTTCTTTTCCTGAGCAAGTTACCTGAACAAAGCATAACATCCATCTCAACTAACTCCATGCTATGTTGGGATGCCTCATGAGCCATGTAATCCCTCTCTCAAAATCCTCCAAAGGAATGTTAATTATTAAGTACAAAGTCAGGAAAATAAACTGTGTGAAAATGTAAAAGAGAAGAAGTGAGGAATACTTTCTAAAACAATCTCTTCTCTTGCATAGACAGTGACAGTCTCTACTGGAAGGAGTTGTTTGCATAGACTCCAGCTGAGGTTGTAGTCTGCTCCAGTCAGTAGAGGTGCCTACAGAGAGAGATTCATGAATTCCTAGTAGAAGCCTGGGTCAGGTGTAGATGTCAGGAAATGTGATCAGTAATGGAACCTTTGCCATTGTTTTTTAACTTTCCACCCATATTTGGACAGTGGACTTGATGTTGGACCAATAAGCAAAAACAAGGACAGCCATCTATGATTCTTGGTAAAATGAGGATATCGATGCCCATGTCTGAGTTCCTCTGAAGATTAAGCAGAATAATTAATGCAAAAATTTCTGTAGTGTCTTAGGATTTAAGGTGTTACCTTCCAGCCCCTTGCCCAAATCAAATTATAAAAAGTCAATTTCATGTTGGAACACTCCGAGTGTCCTCCTTGAGGATTATGAATTCTATTAATATTTGTCTCTCAAATAAAAGAACAATTGGGGGGAAAATTGCACTCTGAAAAATCCATTTTAAATGAATAAAAGTGGAGCAGTAAATAATGAAGAAGAATGTAGACAGATTCAAAAAGAGACTTGGGCCATTTTGCTGCTAATAGGTGCCACAGACAGTTCATTACTGATAAATGCAGAATAATGATGTCCTTAATGAGTCTTTTCACGCACAAATTCATCATAAAACAAGAGGATGAGGTAAAACAAAAAGTCTTTCAATAGCATTCATGCAGCAGCAAAAGAATCATTTCATGTCCCTAAAACGGGACTGCAGATTTTAAGGACAGCCTCTTGAGAGTTCTTTCCTTGTGTCCCAACTTAATAGCTTTTCTTCTAATATCTCAGAGGTAAATTTCAACCTTTTACACAAAATGGGACACGTAAAAGAACCAAGTAAAGGCAGCTCCAAGACTTGTGCTCCAGAGCCTCTGTGACCCTCTGCCAGTCATTTGACCTTGATTGCTTTCTGAGTGCTGGTTATCTCATCAGCAATATGGAGACATATTTTTTAAGTGTCTCACACCCGATTGGTGTTGCAACTGAACAGTGCCCTTTGTATATTCATACGTGGAAGTCCTACACCAGTGCTTCACATGTGTTTGGGCTCTATGTTGGAACAGGGTCTGGAAGCAATCAAAAAATCAAGTGAGTGCAGTAGTGTGGCCCCTTATCCAATGTGACTGAAGGCATAAGAAGAGATCAAGACACACACACACATTCCTAAGAAATGACCTTGTGAGGACACAAAACAGCTGTGTGCAAGCCAAGAGGAGATGGGGCAAGGAAATACACTTCCTATACATCTTGATTTGTACTTCTATCCTCTAGAACTGTAAGAGCGTAAATTATGCTTCAGCCCTGTCCAACTAAGATAGTTGGATGCTCAAAAGTTAGACCATAATTTTGGCACACTAACTGCTTAAGTCATAACAATTCCTTAAGCATTTGGTACTTGTCAGTGAAGAACTCATTTGAGCATAAATGTGGTGAGGGAAGAAATATCCTTTGAATTAACAGGACAAAATCTACCTAAGCTTCAAAGGTCATGGCTACCAATATCCCTTGCCCTCTATACGCATTTCACAAGAAAGGTCTTTCTGAGCAACCTTCCAAATCATATTGCTAGAGGAATAGTCTGTATGTATACATACCCGGAAGAGGAGGGTCTAAGCTTTGGGGGTCTACTTAATATTCTGCCACCTAATGGTATGAAATTTGTCAACCTGAAGTTAGGTCAGCTTGCTTTGATTCTATATCTTTTACTCTCTAAGTATGTATACTTAGTTATATTGTGTAACTAGGTCCATGTGCTTGGTAAAAATGATTGAACAATCACTGCCATGGCAATCTTACATCATAGAGAAGATTCTGTTCTCCTGAGGAGCAGTGCCACCTCATGGCCTGGAGGAGTAAACCAGTATATGCTAAGGGCACAAAGATGAGGGCCTGAGGCTGTCTTTAAGAATTAAAAGCAACTCTGAAAGTCAGCAAGAAAACGGTGCTTAGTCCTGCAAACACAAGGACCTTAATTCTTCAAAGCAACAAAAAGGGACTGTGAGGATCCAATAAAAATCATTGTTTCGGCCAATGGCGTGACTTCTTCTTGTTCTAATATCACAGCTCAAACATCACTTATGGATTCCTTATCCTCAGAAGACAGATTGTGAATGACTGCTAAATCAAGGCTGCTGATTTATGGCACTCCATTATTACAAGGATTCAGGGATTATGCTGGCCTGCCCCTGTCACCTGGCAGAATGCACTCAGGCAGTGTCCTGGTCAGCCCAGGGTTCCGTGAAGGTGCAAAGGAACCATTTAAGAGAAACACTTAGCCGGGCAGTGATGAAACATGCCTTTAATTCCAGCACTCGGGAGGCAAAGGCAGGTAGATCTCTGTGAGTTTGAGACCAGCCTGGTTTACAAGAGCTAGTTCTAGGAGAGTCTCTAAAGCCACAGAGAAACCCTGTCTCAAAAAAACAAACAAACAAAAAAAAAGGTAGAGAAAGAGACTGCCCACTTAGTGGTCTTTCTGCCTGTTCATCTCTTTCTGTTCTGTTCTCTTTCCTGCTCCTCACTTTCCACCCTCTCTTTCCTGTTGTTCCCCTGGGGCAGACCAGACTTTTCCTGTCTCCTCCTTCTCTCCTGTAGTCTCTCTGTCTGTCTCGGTGTCTCTTTATACCTCTTTTCTTTTCTCCTTCCATCTCTGTTCCTGGGTGGCCAACACATATCCTTCCCTTTGTTCCCTTTCCCAATGAACTCCATGTGGGTTTATTGAGTTTTGTGGTTCTGGTTTCATTGCCTGCTGCAGCTGCAGCAAAACAACAATTATAACAGAAAGAGGAGACTTGCATGAGACTATATGCCACATACCCAGCCATTCACACACACACACACACACACACACACACACACACCACACACACCTACTTTAGTACTTGCAAGTCCTTCCTCCTTCCTTGGAAAAGACACAAAGGGGCTAATAAAAGGGAAAAATAACTTCTGCTTTTTACTTACCATGAAAGAAATATTTCCTATAGATATTTTAAATGTGGTAATCATTCATGTCACTGGACAGTCTCAGTTATAGAATATCCTCAGGGAAATGGACATTTACCATAAGGAGGATTTCCTAGCAAGAACAAATTCCACACAGACAGTCCATAGAAATTTTGTTTTTGTAAGCAGAAAAAATAATCAACAATAAAACTTAGCTCTGACATTTCTCATCTGAGCATGACTATCGTATGATATCTCCAAGTTTTCCTGTTTGAAGTGGAGGCACTAATGTCACATGACAGTTTTTAATCAGGATTCAATCACATGCTCTATAAAGTTCACATTTCAAGTGCACAGTTCAGTGTCTGCTTCTGTATAGCTACATACTAATGAAAATATCATCTAATTCTAGAGTTTTTTTCAAAAATTCCAGAAGTCCTGTTCCTATCCATAAGTGAGTCACCCTGAATCTACCTACAGCCCACTCTGGGAAAAGTTCTCATATGTTATCAGTTATTATGCATTTGCCTACTGTGAATATTTTACATTCAAAATTCACAAACCATAAAGCCTTTTGTGTCTTGCTTATTTCTCTAAACACAGTATGTTCAAGTTTCATTCATGTTACACCACATGACATTTTTGTGATGAAACTCCTTGAGAACTACAAAGATGATTTTTTATCTTATGAAGATAGACACTCCTTTCACAAAAGTGTTGGCTGGATACCAATCAACCTCTTCTTGCAGTCTCCCAAACACCAGAAATTCGTTATTGAGAAAGGCAAATTTTCCCCATGGATGTAATATTTTACCTATTGAAAAATTGATCCTTGAGTTTAAACAATATCTCCATGCCCAAGGCTAGAAACATGGCTCAATAAAAAAACTAAACATAGCTGATTCCTGAAACCCGTCTGGTTTTTTGTTTGTTTTGTCATTTGGTTGGTTGGTTGGTTGGTTGGTTGGTTGGTTTTTCAAAGCTAGAATGGTAGAAGCCCCTATAGTTCCAGAGCTGGGAAAGTGGAGACAAAAAGATTTGGAGTGTTTGCACCCAGCAAGTCTAGATGAATCAATGAACTTCAGATTCATGTGGAGACCCTGTCTCAAAAGCAAGGTAGAGAGAAATTGTGGAGGGCACACACGCACACACACACACACACACACACACACACACACACACACACTGAAAATAGTCTTAATGTATATAGTCGTTAATATGAGGTAATTAATGGCAGGGGCCATGATACAATTCAATTCATGATCTAATTCTTAAATAGTGAGAGAGTAGAGAGAGATCCTCAGAGAGAGAGAGACCATCTTAAGAGAGTATCAAGTCAATGGATTTTGTGTGTGGGGGGGGTGTACACACAATGATATGGGCATGCCACAGAGGGCAACTCTGTGTAATCTTCTTCTACCTTTATGTGGGCTGCTGCAGGGATGAAATTTCAATTGGCAGGCCCTTGTCACCAGAGCCTTTACCAGCTGAGCCATCTCACCTACCCAAAGAATTTCAATGATTCTTTGTTTTTTTGTTTGTTTGTTTGTTTGTTTGGGTTTTTCGTTTGTTTGTTTTGTTTTTTGTTTTTGAGATCTGAAGTGATTTTGCTTTTATTTCCCTCATGTTAAGCAAATCATGAAATTTCACAGTGACTTCTGGGGTGGGGCAGAAGGAAAGTGTATTCAGAATGATGGAGGCCACAGCTTGGTTTGCCTGAGAAGGTGCAAGCAGGGGAGGCCTCACTGGGGAAGCTGGAGGAGCACTGACTGCCCTGCTGGCAGGTAGGTAATGTTCCTAGAGGGCACGAGAGCTGGTAAGCAATGTCCCAGGCAGCTTCCAGCTTGTGCAGCTCAATCAGGCTACCACCTGCGGTGGCCAGGGAGTTGACAATCAGCTCGGCTGCCTTCGAGTCACCCTCCACAGAGATGATGGCTGCCTTCTCCTGCTGCTCAGCCTTTTCCACCACAAATCTGGCCCTCTCAGATTTCTGCTGAGCCACCTGTTTGGCTTCCACTGCTTCTGTGAACTCCTTCCCAAAAGGTCAGTCATTTCAGGGACACCTCATCCAGGATGAACCCAAACGTCACTGCTGTCTCTGTGAGGTCATCACTCACCTGCCTGGAGACCAATTCTTGCTGGGTGATTAATTCTCCAGCATCAAAGCGAGCCACTAACAACTTGAGAATCTCTGTGGTGATGGATAGCAGCACCTGCTCATCATCATCCTCACCGATGCTGGTGTAGATACGAAGAAGCTGGCTGGTCACCGGCCAGAAGAGGATGTGTAGTGTGATATTGACATTCTCCAAATCTTTGCTACCAGCCCCCTAGGCTGTATCATTTTCATGTAGACTTGTACCTGGCACACAACAATTGATCAGTAAATACTGTGGAATTAAGAAAGAATACATGTATGAACCAATGACTCCGAGAGAAGTGAGAATTGACAAAGGAGGCCAACCTTTGGAGCAGGAATATCCATGTTGCAAATGTCCTGGAAGGGAGGCACAGATTTCAGAGTGGGAACTGCCTGCCCACATGTCCATAATACCCTCTTTTCCCCTCTTCAGGTTTTCCTGTACTGCCCCAGAGGTTATGAATGATGAATTTGGTACAGACCCAACAAGTCCAAGTTCAAGCCTGTGGGGCATCTTTGTTCTGAGGATTCATCCAGAACAGAGTGCAAAGTCCTCCGTCACTGTTTTCCAGAACTCTGTCTTTGAACTTTTCAGGAGTTCTAAGAGTTCTCTCCACTCAGCTCCCTAAGTAATGGGAAAACATCCAAGCCTCTTTGAAAGAGACCTATTAGAGAAATGTTTGTTACAGAGGTCCCTGAATGGAGAACCAGGGGCCTGTCCTGGGGGCGAGGGCTAAGCCTGGCACAGATCACTCCCTGGGAGACCTTCCAGAATCAGAAATGGCTCACTGCACACCACCTAATGCTCCCCCACCATCTGGTGCCAGCAGCCCTTCCTCCTGCTCCATGCTGGAGGTTTTATTCTAAAGCAGATTCCCAGGCACCCTGCTGTGGGAGCACAGAAGCTGCTACTAATTAAAGTCTACTTTGTGATCAATGAGGAGGGTCCTGCACTTTAACTATCCTCACTCTATCTGCTAGGGATGCTGCTAAGACTCAGATTTTTCACATAGCTCAGATCCTGGGCCACCGGGACACTGACCTTAAAATCAGGAAGCAAGCCTATAGTGTAAAGGGCAGGTAGGGTAAGTGTTTACCTCACTGGTAGAACATTTGCCTAGCATGTACAAGACTTTGGGTGTGAGCCCAAGTATGACAGGGTGGGGGATCAGACAGAGGTTATGAAAAGTTATTCAGGAAATCCACGGGGCATGGTTTCCTTAGATCTATGTGCATATAAATAGAAAATATTTTTCATATAATGTATTCTAATCCTGGTTTTCCCTCTCCCAACTCCTCCCAGATCCTCCTTACCATCCACCTAGCCAACTCCATGCCCTTTCTCTGTCTCTCTTTAGGAAACAAAAACAGACAAACAAACAAACAGAAAAACAAGCAAATTTTAAAAAAAATTTAATTTTTTAAAATTAACAGCAAAAAAGCATAAGAAGCACACACAAAAAACTCATAAAAAGAAAATCAGAAACCTCAATATATAATCAAAAGACCAATAATGCCTAAAACAAAGCCCTATGAGACTGAAAGTCTACAATAATACTATTGAATTCATTTTGTGTTGGCTGCCTATTGCTGGCCATGGGGCCTTTCCTTGCTGTAGTTAATATACTCAGTGAGACTCGATTGGAGAAAACTAGTTTTTCCTTTTTATGTGGTTGTCATTTGGAGGTAGCTTCTTGGTTAGGGCTGGAAGTCCATGTCCACTTCCCCCTCTCCCATCTGGGATCCATCTGGTTTGAACCTGTGCTGGCCCTGTACATGCTGCCACAGTCTTTGTGAGTTAATGTGTGTATCAGTCCTGTTGTGTCTAGTAGACACTGTTACCTTGGTGTCATCCACCCGCTCTTGCTCTTTCAATCTTTTAGCCTCCTCTTCTTCATAGATCCCTGATCTCAAATGGAAGGGTTTTGAAGAAGACATACCATTTAGGACTGAGTGGTATGTATCTTAAGCTATATTTCTGCACTGCCCTATGAGCTATAGCTTCTCCATCAATAAAAGGAAAAAGCCAAGTGCTCTAGCTTCAATCTGCTACTATGACAAACACCATGACCATAAGAACCTTGGGGTATGAAAGTGTTCATTTGGCTTTCATTTACAGGTCAGCCCATCATTGACAGTAGTTAGGATAAGAGCTTGAAGGAAAAACCATGGAGGAATACTTATAGAGGCATGTTCACCTAGCTCTCTCATAGAGCTCAGGACCATCTACCTATGTGTCTTAGCCAGTGTTCTATTTCTGGAAAGAGACACCATGACCACAAACAACTCTTATAAAGGAAAGCATTTAACTGAGGCTTGCCTACAGTTTCAAAGGGTTAGTCCAATGTTATCATGGCAGGAGGCATGGTAGCATGCAGGCAGATATGGACCTGGAAAAGTAGCTAGGAGTTCTACATCTGGATACAATAAGCAGCAAGAAGAGAAAGACGCTGGGACTGGTTTGGGCTTTTGAAAGCCCAAAGCCCACCCCCAGCCCACCCCACTGCACTCCACCCCCATAACACACTTCATCCAACAAGGCCATACCTTGTTGGTTCTCAACCAGTGAGTTGTGATTCTTTTGGAGATTGCATATCAGATATCCTACATATCAAATATTTATATTATGATTTGTAACCATAGCAAAATTACAACCATTTTAGTAAAGTGACAGAAGCCACAGTAGTACATTAATAAGAAAAATTTAATGTTACTCACTAAAAGAAGACTCACTTGTAAGAGTGACTGTGTCACCACAGTTATACTTATCTGTTCATTGGGCTTAAAGGTTCCTTGATAAAGGGTCTTAAACCAGTATGTCACCATGTATAACTTGGACTGCCATGTCTCTTCAGACCTAAGAACAATCTAGATACTTTGAATGAAGCAGAACTTAAAGCTTATGGACATCAAATGATACTGGGCACTGTGATGTTCAGGTTTGTGTTCCCTTTGGAGAAGTGAAATTTGTTCTGTCTCATTATTTGAACACAAGCAATTCTATTTTTAAAAAACAAGTTAAAAACATGAAGGAGACGGCAAGAGCAAAGCCTTCCCTTGGTATTGGAACCCTGAATGTTTAATCCAAAGAAGATATACAGCCCTTGGGACATCTCAATGTTATTAAAGCTTGGCAGATATCATAAATAGCACTACTGAATAAAACCTGAGAATACCTTTCAACTGCTTTCAAAGGAGCCACAACATATGATAATACCTGGGATTAAAATTGGCTGGAAGGTGGAATATTTCAAGTGCCTTTTGTCAGCAGGGCATTTATTCAGAGCTTTGGAGTAAATTCACTCTATAAATTCAACATCATCACATAAAGAGGGACTTCCTTCAGTCTTTTGTCCCACCCTCCAAACCGTTCATAAGGGACACAAAATGTAACAGAATCAATGTTATTTTAGATGAAATTACTTTTAGGCCTGAAGTTTAGTGAGTTGGCAATTTATCTGTCCTCTCTAGGCCTCGTGTATCTCATTTGTAAAGCTGGTATAATTACCATTTCATAGTGAATTTTTAACATTTTATTAAGTAGTGTAATTTCACAAAAATAAGTACTTCTAAGGACTACATTTTTGCTCATGTATAGTTTTAATTCATTTTCAGTGAATCACAGTTTAATGAAATTCATAGGGTATCATCCTTATTTATAAAGTAAAAATGAGATGAGAAATAGAAATTACTTATATATAAAGACTACTTACATAGTACTTAGCAGGGTTAAGTTAATAAAAAAAATGATATAGTCTGAGTTTATGGAAAGAAACAATAGCTGTAGAAAAAAGAGTAAAAGTGTTGTATATGACATTCTTAGAAAATTAAATCCCACCTCCAAAAGAAAAGAACAAAAAGAAATCCCAGCTGTCACTGTGACCTGGTCATTATTTAGCTCTGTGTAGTTAAAGCTGCATTTCTATAAGAAGAATATCTGGTGATGTTATCAGGTAATAATGTGTTATTTATTAATTGAATTAGTTAAAACTTGATACATGCATTCATATAAGCCACCCTTTGAAATACACAGAAATTTAACTAATACTCTAATTTTCATTATTATCTTATCTGGGAAGCAGAAGACAGTGGGGCTATCCAGTTCACAGCTGATGTGAAGATGAACAGACCATGACCATGGCATGTTTATGTGACCTTCGTGTGTGGTATAATTAAAAATGATGGTGTGAGACAAAGAGTCACCTCTGTGCTTAAGAAAATATACACTTTTGCAGACAACTTGAATTTGATTCCTAGCACCCAGATTTAGAGGCTCACAGCCACTTGTAACTCTAGCTCTAGGGAATTGGACACCCTCCTCTAGACTCTATAGCAACTGCATTGGTGTGTGAATGTGCATGCCAGCACACACACACACACACACACACACACACACAAACACGCCAACACACACAAACACACATACACAAACACACACACACATTAAAAAATAAAATCTTTAAAAATTATAGAGGCTGCTATTGGTTTTCTTTTTTAATTACATTTTTCCATTGCTTTTGTTCATCCAGGCTCTTAAACATGGCCTAGCATGCAAAAGCAACTGATCAATAATTTTAAGTTGCCATATTTTATTCTAAATGACACATGATAAATGATTTATGGTTGGGTGTGGATAAGAGGATATTCAGGCATAATAGTGTCATTCATAATATAGCTTTGCTGATAAAAAAAAATAATGCTTAAATCGATGTCTGGTACAGCCCTCTTAAAAATATCACATGGTTTAGCAAGCTCTGCATACTAATAGAAATTCAACAGAAAAAAATCCTTCCTCTTTTAGTAATTGTACATGTGTTGGAGTTGCTTCTGTTTGCTACTTGTTGTCTGTATGTGCTTTCCTTCTTGATTTAAGTTAAGAGAAGTTTCTTTGTAAATGTTAAGGTTGCCCAGGGAAAAGTCCACATCTAGTGAAAATACACGGAAGATTAGAGTTGGAAGAAATGTTACTCAGTGAGGAAGGAGTTCAAGAGCACGCTTCATGTTTGTGGATGAGATGTAAAAAGACATAATCCTCAGTGGAAAATAATGACAAGGCTCTCCTGAGAAATTGTCTTCTTGGTAGCCCAGTAGAGAAGCGATTGGAAATTTTGTTTCTAGAATATAAAAGCCTCTTGAAAGGAAGAAGGAAGAGACAGGGTGTCTGTTTTACATTAACAGTACAGCCTCTACAATGCTATTAAAGATATTACTTAATTTATATGTGAGAGAGAGAACATGTGTACTTGTGTGCACATGTGATTGCAAGTGTCAAGGAGTTGAGAAATGGGCACCAGATAACTTAGAGCCGGACTTACAAGTGGTGGTGAGTTATCCAGCATGGGTGTTGGTAATCAAACCCAGGTCTTCTACAAAACTATACATGCTCTTAAGCCATCTCTCTGTCTTCCACCTCTTCTGTATTTCACACTGTACTGCAGCATCATCTGTTGAATAAAGTAATGAGTTAATGAATGCCGACTTTTCTCACTTGTCTTTGGTGGAATTTTTGTTTATTTTGTTTTGTTTTATGTGGCTGTGGCTTATTTGTGGATTTCCTCAGTATAGGATGGTACTAACTTGTGTTTTGTACATCATAGAAAGGTCAACAAGAAAACCAATGGGCAATCCACCTGAGAGTTCTTTCTCTTCAGTTTGTTTACACAAATGTAGTGTCCCAGCTCAACTGCAGTGGAGGCCATTGCTGGAATGGAAGCTTTCCATAATGACTGGAAAGACATCAGAGCCAGCAGTGAGTCTTTGAGAGTGACATGTGTGCACCATGAAGATGCTGATGGACAGCTATGAGCATTGTTGAAAGTGATCAGAGTCCCAGTTTAGACTTTTAGCCTGTTCTCCACACCCTCACAGACTCAGACCTCAAAGACATCAGGCTTCTTGTGAGTTTTTTCTTTTTCTTTGGTTTTTCGAGACAGGGTTTCTCTGTGTAGCTTTGGAGCCTATCCTGGCACTCGCTCTGGAGACCAGGCTGGCCTCCAACTCACAGAGATCCGTCTGCCTCTGCCTCCCGAGTGCTGGGATTAAAGGCGTGTGCCACCAACGCCCGGCTTCTTGTGGTTTTTTTAAAAAATGACATTTTCTGATCAAGTTTCAGAATTTCAAGAGTAGAGCATTTCCTTCTCTAGACTGAAGCTAACAGAACATTTAATTGCCCTTAAGAAAAAGTTGCAGCTCTCACCTGAGTTTTTATGTACTTATAATTCTACACTGTGTTTTTTGTTTTTGTTTTTGTTTTTGTTTTTTTTATGAAGCATGTAGGAAGACAATTGCTGGGAGTCTGTTCTCTCTTTCCACCATGGGCATGGAACTCCAGCTTTGTTGGCAAGAGTCTTCATTCTCTGAGACATCTTGCCAGCTCCAAACCTTACTCTTTTATCTAAACTTTATTAAGCTAACAAAATATTTGTAAAATGATCTCTCATTGCAGTTTAGATATTTTACATACCTTCATTGGATTAGGATTCCTAATTTATAGGGACCTTCTACTAATGCTCCCAGTGAGTCAGAAAATATGCAAAGTGGTGGATTTTTGTTTACTAATCCCTATTATTTTCTCGGATCCAATAGCTGAATCAATAATACAACACAATTTGAATCACAAGACAGGAAACATCATCTGCCTTTTTTCAGTTGCACTTAGAGACTTTAGAGAACCCATGTGTAGTTGCCTTCTCCCAATCATTGTTCTGAATTTATGATTGTGTTGACCTGCTGTTTATCAGTGTGGCGGTTTGAATGAAAATGGCAGCCATATACTCACATATTTGAATACTTGGTTCCCAGTTGATGAATTGTTTGGGGAAAATTAGGATATGTGACTTTGTTGGAGGAGCTGTGTCACTGGGGGTAAACATTTTAGTTTCAAAACTCCATACCAGCCTGTCTTTCTCTCTGCCTCTGGTTTGTGGATTAGATGTAAG